CAAAAAGGGGAAGAAATTAAGCTTAAAAAAATAATCCTTCTCCTACCTTAAATGAAATTTTAAACACACTTGGAGAAGAAGAAATCTCGACAGGTCGTTTCTCCATGTTATGCTCGACGTCGATGATCCGATTAAATGGATAAATAATTCGGCTTGGAGCGACGAAAATTAAATTAAAAATATTTAGTAATTATATAAAATATTCACAGATAGTATTTATTATAAATATACATAAGGCACATAAATTTATTTGGGCAATTAGACAAATAACAATTAATATTAATGACAACAACAACAACAATAATAACAATAATAACAATAATAGTGTAATATCCCGATATTTTATCGGTATAAATTACATGTTTAATTCCGATATAATAATGTTATCGTTTATTATTTTCGGAATTAATTATGTTCAGTCGGAATTACCGAAATCTATTTTCGACGTACCGTTTACGTTCGAAATAATTTTGGTAATTAAGTACTATGTTTAATTAAAGAACTAAACATAAATTGTGATTAATTATGTCAATTAATCTTCTATTATGCCTAATAGCCGTGAGATTAAAGTGTTATGCTCCAAATGGGTGCATTAGCCGTAACATTCCTTCAAGTTGGAGGAAAGTAATTTTTCCTCTTTGCATGAGCACCAAACGTGGCAAAATTGGAGGATAATTAGTCATCAATTTTAGTTTAAGAAGGAAGCAAGTGGCAAAGATCAAAAAGGGCCACGTTGGCCGTACGTCACTCAAATCCCCCTCGGGCTTAATATTAATAAGAAAGGTTGGACCGAAATTTCCTTCAATTTCTCTTATAAGGTAAAAGTCATCTTCAGTATATATATATTTCCCCTTCAGCAGCAAATATAAGTTAGCAAATTTCCTAAAATTTCCCTAAGTTTCGTTCAATCGCACGGCAAAGGCTAAGGTTACCGCTCGGAGTGCTCGCGAGGAGGAGGCACGGCCTATTTTCTGTTTTAATCGAGCAATCAGCAAGGTAAATCTCTCCTTCCACTTAGGTTCATGTTGATAAGGTCAAATTCAGACTATATGTTCGGTTTATTTTCGAGAAGTTCAAGTTAAATCATGCTTAAAGCCGTGCCCTAGGTCCGATTATTTTAAGTAAGATCATACTCGAGTTAAGTTCATTTCAGTCCGGCAAATCCCGAGCGTTCAGCAGTTGTTTAACCTTTATTTAATTCATCATGTCAGTCTGGTAAGTGTTGTTGAGTAAAGTCGAAGATTTTCCGGTGAATTGGCCAAAGCCGTCGCTAGTGCCGATCGCACGTAGCTACGGGCGGCCGTGAGTCATGATCTTGTGAGTTGAGTATAAGTTATGTTCTTCAGTATGTTTAAGTCCTAAAATTGTTCAGATTAATGTTAATATTAAGTTGTTCGGTAGTTGTCGGTTAATAAGTTAGTTTGGCCGAGAGGCGGCACAAAGCCGTCGGCGGCGCACGGGCGTCCGCCACGGCCCTTCTTATGTTCAGCATGCATCAGTCCATGTTCAGACCTTAAATGATAATTTCAGTTATGTAAAGTTCAGTATGTTAAGATGGTTGAAATCTTGTTGGTTTTGGTCGAAGTTGGCCGAAGGCCGTAGGCCTCGCACGTAGCGAGTGCCACGGCCGAGCGTTAGGACCAATCTTAAAGTTCAGTAATTTCATGTTAATCTCAGTTTAGTGATTATATTAAGTCATAACATGTTGTTACAAGTCAGTTCGGTCGGAAAGTTCGCCGGACGGTCGGCAAGGAGTCGACCGTGGCCGC